TGGTAGGTCGAGAAGAATTGGAAGGGCGAGAAGAGGTGGAAGGCCTAGAAGAGGAGACCGTGCTGAGGGATTCCTTTCGGGATTTGCCCAGTACCTTCGCCACGGCGGCGGCTTTCTTCGCCTCCGGCAACTTCGCGCACGCGGCAAGGAGCTGAAGCATTTTGTTCGTGTTTTCTGCCTCCGCGCCGGCGACGATTTTTGTCGGTTTCGCTGCGCAGGCTTTCCCTGTGGCCGCTTCAATTGCCTTGATGAGCAACTCCAGAAACTCCAGCTTGCTTTCTTTTGTGGTGACTTTGGAACTATCGAGCATCTCGGGCGTGTAGAGATCTTTCGGGAAGTTGTTCGCTGCGATGAACGCTGTTACAATGTCATGAAGAAAACGAAAAGGGGGGCGGGCGAGGAGCTTCTCAGTGAGCTTGGGTGCTGTGATGACGGCACCGAGCTCATTCTGTGTGCTTTCAATGAACGGACTAGACATCGTCGCACTATAGCTTTTTGCTTTCTAAGTTTGTTGTTGGTGTGGTTTTGAATTCTACGTGTAAGTGATCTTTAATGTCAGTGCAAATGATGAGAGGAACGAGGAAGAGATAGTGAGAATGGAATTTAATGTAACCATATATATATATATATATATATGTATATATGTATATATATAGTAGGAAAATGGAAAGGGTAAAAAGTGTAAAATGTTCAAAAAAGTCCTCTGCAAATGTATTGAAAGCAATTGAAGAGTGATAGAGACCGTATACCTCTATGATTGGATTTTGATTTGTTTTACCCTAAAATTGTATCTTCATCATAAAGAGCATTTATTTAGGATATCCTAAATTAGAAGAAATAATAGATAGCCTTATTCCCTTCGGGGTACGTATGTAAAGCGCTACGCTTCATCTACAAACAAGTGTAAGAATAATGCTCGCTTGTTTTTTTTTAGTTGGTCATCGCCTCCATGTTAGAACTTTCATCCAGGGCTCTACAAAGACGCACCCATAACTCATCGTTACTATGATGATGCACTACATCTTGTAAAAGGGTATCTTTGGCTCGCACAAATAGTTGTCTATACAACTCAATTGCTTCTGTTGTCGCATAATAGCGTTTTCGGCACTCAGTACAAACCTCCTCGTTAGTACCCTCAGCTTTCAAATTATTATCACTACTGATGCTTGCGGTGGTTGCCGCATTCGTAGTTCTATTCCTTTTGGTGGTGACATGATTTCTAATTCTGTCCACGCGCTGGTGGTCCCTCAGAGTCGAGTGCAGTGACCGTGTGTAAGAGTAACCATTGACAAGCTGCGGTTGAGTACGAGTAGTTTCTAAGCTGGCGTCTGTGCTAAGACTGGCAAGAGGTTTATTAGATTCCTTAAGCATTGAAAACTTTGTATTTCACGTCACTTCCCCCTCTTCCCTTTGCTCTTTAACAAGGCTTTGAGAAAGACTTACAGGGTGTACACTTACCGGCAACTGGATGTTCTATTAATCCACGTCCTCAATTTGTTTGATAAGCTACACGTATATAGCTAAGGTATAGCGCTACAGATGAAAAATAAATAAGGGGAAAAACTTGTATTTAACGGGTGTTTCCTAAAATTATTCCATCTTTGATAATTTATCATACCATATTATTAACGTATTTTATTGTTTGCTTTCCTTCACCAAACGTCACAGCCACATAAAGGCCAACCAACAAGGAAAATAAATAAATCCTAAAATATGTTACTGAAAAAACAAAAGAAAACTATTATACGCGTAGATTTGTCTTCCATCTTACCAAATGTTGCTATACTTGTGAATCTATCGAAGATAACACGTCTGTACCTTTTCGAGATCCTCCTGTCATTTTTTTTTGTTATATGGTCGTTGTCAGGGCTTCAGATGATAGCAATAGGTGAAATACAACATTCACAGTTGAAAATATTGTCAAATCTATGTATACAACTGTGCTTATGGAAACATAAATTCATACTTAGAAAGGGAGGGATCGCTTAGATGGATGCAATGTATATTTTTACTCCCTTTGATGTCTTTTTGTCCGTAAAAATTTGCAACACACCGAAAATTCAAGTAATTAATTTACAAAAGTTACTCACCACGTTGTGTTTGACATGTCGAGAACACGTCTATTCTTCTCTTTGGTGGCATCATTTCGGTGTAATATGCCCTCCTTTCTGTGCTCTAATACTTGGAAGAAGATAACAACGATAATTGTTACAAATATTATGCATACTTGTCAGATTTAATTTTCGTCCTTTCAGTAGTGAGAAATGCAATTGTTGAGACGATTAATGGTGATCAGAACTCCGAATGTCTGCGCGAACGGCGGCATAAAACAGATGAGAGTGATGAAAATAACGCTAAATAGGGATGTTAAGTGGTAGGATAGACACGCGACGCCTCCCGAGGTTCAAAAAATAAGCTCCTCCTGTGGCCCGTATCGTATTTCCATAATGATCACTTTTCTAAAGTGCATGCAAAAATCATAGGGGAAAATACAGACAACACACCCCATAGGGAAGCAACGAATGCAGTTTATGATTGGCTACTGTTTTGGTGATAGCAATAATCACGATTAAGGCTGTTATGCCAAGATAGTGAATCTAGTGAACCGTTTGGAGGAGATGGGCAAACAAATCCATATGATTTAGCTTATCGATAAATATCTCGAAAAGGGTCATTCTAACTATTCGCCTCACAATGTAGAAATTAGTAATTATTTTGTTCGTAGTAACTAAATTTAGCTACTTTTAAAACGTAAGTTGGAGTTGCCTCTACTATGGTCTTCAATTCTTCCTACGATACCATTTATTTCATATTTTTATGATTGTTTCCGCGTTGTAGAAACATCTATGATGCCCATTTTTTTTTGAGTAGACAAACGTATTTGCGCACCCTTTGAATGGCATTAGAGATGTGAAAGCTTTTTACGGTATATGAGTGGTAACTGTGGGATGTTGTACGCATAGCAAATGGGTTCATGATCTTACGTCATGTCCAAAAGGATATTTAGTCTGAACTCTGCAGAATTACCTGAGTGCTTTTTGTTGAAACTTGGACGGCAAAGCATGTATGATATGTTGATATAATGAAGTTTCCATGGAAATGGCAAATTCTAGAAAACATAGGTCGTTGTGTTAATACTATTTGTAAGACCAGAGGTGAGTTTGAGTGACTCTTCAGTGAGCGGCTCGCTTGATGTAGCCTTCCCACAGAACTTTATCGAATTACTTTAATTAAAACTTGAATTACACACCTGAGATACCACGCAGAACAAGTCTATCCCCAAAAAACTAAATGCACATATCTATACATATTTATCAACGAGACAAAGAAAATGAGGTGAAACATGAGTTTCTAACAGCTAGATAAATATTATAGAACAATTAATTTTCCGTCTTCTACACACCTGAAAAAAAGTTTTTTGCTTTCTTTAATAGTAAGAGATTTTGTCCTTGGCGAGCCATTCTCTCTAAATATTTCGCTCAAAAAAAATCATATCTGCTTTCTTAACCCCAAAATACCACACTCAAAAATAAAATGATTCAAAGAGTGATATAAAAGAGTTTCCCCCCTACAAGAACAAGCAAGGTGAGCATGTTGATCCAAGTGACTTACCCTCATTTGTATATAAAGAAAAGTTAGATTTCCCTTTAAAGCCTTAGGCAACTTTTTTTTTAGTCAACATTTAGATATGTATACAAATCTTCGAGATTCTATGTTGAATATAAAAATATACTAAAGATGCCTCTCCTCCTCGCACTGTGCTCAACACTGAACAATAAACAGTGGAAACAGATGAAGAATCTAATTTTTATTACAAGCCTGTCAAATTGATGAGTTAAAATTTTATTTACTTCCTAAATGCACTGGTCCTCCTTTCATTGTTTATTGCTGTTGCATGAAAAAATTTCCTAATATCATTCGAATACATAATCCCACAAAATTGACAGCAATCCTGCACCTTAGTCCACTCCAAAGTCCAGTGGTTCCTTCCTCACGTACAATAGACTTTATACAGTCCATCATTCCATCATATGGAGGGTGCACGTCGTCTGATGCGGTCAGAATCATGCGCCGGCTCACTACCTCGAAGGGTTGCATAGTGACATCCGATGCAAGCGAAAGACCACTAACTATGCAGTATGGATGAGCTTCTTGCAGATGCTGAGGGATAAGCATTGAGGCCCCTATGTAGAGCCCGCGGTAGATAATGACAAGAATGGGATCGACAAGGACCCCACGATAGAAAGCTCGGAGACCCTGACGTCGGTAAATACTCTGCGTCGTCTCCACCGCGGAGGCATAGAGATAGCTGTTCTCTTCAGTCGAATTTTCTTTCATTGCCTTCGGGTGTTTTTTTTCCTCAACCGCGGTGCCTTTCTTGGCCGCTGTGCGGGAGGGGGGAGGGGCGACCACGTCCGCCAAATAGTTCGTCATGATGCTTCGGCGCAACGCGAAGTACGGCGAGGCTACCATCACGGCGAGGGAGGTCGCACCGATAGTGATCGCGACCGCTGTTGAGAGACCCATCGATTCCGAAACCCATCTCGGCACCACCGCCTGGACGACCATCGAGACCAATGTCATGCTCAACGAGTCTACGAAGCCGGCGGGCAAGGACAGCACCAGGTCCGCTCCCACCCCGCGCAGGAATCCCAGGCCGCCTTCACGGCGCCAAACCTGACGAATGCAGGCCAGGATGCCCCCAAACCCCGTCGAGGACGGAATCCGGCCCTGACGTTTGAGCTCTCCCTCCACCGCGGTCAGCACCTTCAGACGCTCCGCGGGGCTCATCACCAGGCGCTGCGCGAGATCGATGAGGAAGCGGACAAACACGTCGAGGACGACGTCGGTGTTGAGGCCGTATTGCGGCATGGGGGAATCCGACGGCGTTGTCTGTTGCAGTCGGGAATCCGAAGCCGTGGTGGGCATGGCTTTTTCTTTGTTACACCTTTGGGTTTCCTTTCGAAACCGTTGTTAATGGGAGATTACAAGGCGTGGGACAGGAAGGTGGGAGTAGATCATCGTTCAAACACACACACGCACACACTCATCGCTCTTTCTCGCTTTACAATTCCCCAATTAGGGGAGGGGGGAAACATGCGTATGGAAGTTCAGCATAACATCTTCGTTTCAAACACAGGTGAACCCATCTCTTTCGTCAAAATTAATGGAAAGTATATATTCATCACTTTTGTTATACCTCGTCTCTAAAGTGGGCACTTAGATTCCATAAATATGTTTATCAAAGGACTATCGTACCATGAACCGTTGCCGAAAGAATGTTAAGCCTAACAACGTGATTTGGACCATAAGGTTGAATGAAATTCCATCGAACAGGCTTTTCCATCCGTCGTTGTGGAGAATGTAGGAGATACATGCCCATGTATTGCGATACCGCCGCCCAGCTCGTCGAGGTAGATGATCCTTTCCTTTTGTGGGACCATTCTCTACAGCTCCACGGAGGTCCTCATGCAAATGGTTTTCTTCAGAGTTTCGTGTTGGCAGCGACAATAGCGCCATACGTCTAGAAACTACCAAAAGTGGCTGCCGTACGGCCGTCGCTACTACGGCCACCGCGACGGAAAGAAGGAACCTTAACATATCGTAAGTCACTTCTGGTGAAAGGAAAAGCCATGGGGGTAACCCAGAGCTCACCTTTGCCGCCCCCAGCACCATCTTCATAGAGGCTTGGATGAATTTATCAAGCAGAATGCTCGTAAAATGGTCAGCTAGATCCACTTCCCAGCCGTTTCCCAGGAGATCCCACCAGCTGCACTCGATTCGGACGCGCTTCCAAAGCTGTGTATACGTGAGATCCTGGGATTCTGGCCGGTGGTGCAGCTTGGTTTTATCATAGAACTTGCTTTTTTTACCATGCTTCCCTTGAGCTTGAATCTTCTGACTGATTTCACTGCTGTCGCTGGGAGCATCTTTCTTAACGACAACAACCCCACTGGACATGTACGTCGTCAACAACATTGTGCGTATCGAGCGCAGAGACCACCTGGCAGCCCAGACTGCTGTCGGTATCACCCCCCACCAAAATACCTTGGCGAAAGTATCAGAACCAAGACCTTGAGTCAGTTCTCCACTCTTCGAGGATGGCAAGGAGGAGTCGTACACCGATGGCATCGCTATGACTTTTGAGATATGGAAAAGGAGCTTCATCATGAGGACACTCTCTACATTGGTGACCACGGTGAAGGCCGTACTGAGACGTGCACCTCTGAAGAATCCTCGGATACCTTCACTGCGGTATATAAGCGAAACTACTTCTTGAACAGGTAACGCTGGTACTGCAGCCGATGGTTTTCCGTGTTCACTACTTCGTGGCCATCGCCCGTCGTTCTCGAGCTCCCGTTTCGTGCACAGTAAATAGCTAATACGTTTCAGGGGGAGAAAGGCATAGTAACGAAATGCAAGCGAGGAAGCCAAGATACAGAGCCCTCTGAGAGAGGTCCACATTTTTCTTACCGAATGGACGTCCCCATCTCCTATCGACCTCGCTTGGACTTCACCAAGATTGAGAAAATAGTCAATTTCATCTTGTTCATACGTTTCTTTGTTGGAGGTATCATCCATAGTATCTGAAAGCTTACTGTATTATTGCTTTTATTTTCATGAAAAAGAAAAATAATACATGTACATCCACACGCATACGCATTGATAAAACAAAATTTAAAAGGGGTAAAATAAGATATGGTGAAAGAAGGAGGGGTAGAATAGAAGGAGGCATTGTACCCGAGATATTGCATTGATTATTTTTTGACGATGTGATGTATTGTAGAGTAAAAAATCAGCCGGGTAAAGTTTTTTCCTTTACAGCTTTATCCGCGTGGAGAATAAAAGTAATCTGTTACTTTGTGTATGTGGGGTTTTGAATGTCATTTTTTATGAATTTTTTTTTTACCGAGAAGCTCGTCCAGGATGCGTTCGATAAGCCGTGCTTCATGTCGTTGAAGTTCGAGTCGCGAATACGGGTTATTCCCAATGGTTGGGCCCCTTTTGGGCGCTGCGGTCTTTGATCCTTTGGTGTCATTTACCTCTGATGTTCCCAAATTATGCCTGGTCATCGCCGCATGAGAAACCAACGCGACGCGAAGAGCAATAGACATTTCCTCAGATCCGAGATCCCTTTCATCAATGCTTTGCCTCTGTGAGCCTGACGTCGACAGCGGAGAGGATTCCAGCACCGACTCAAACACCGTGCTGTGCGGCGGGGATTTTCGAGCGACGGTCTCGATCATCCTCGCACTGGTGCTTGCGACAGCAAGCGCGAGCGCGGATTGCCAGCTCTCGGAGTACCACCGATCCTTTAAAAGCCGCCGCAAGACAGTTTCATTCTTCTCAAGGTCAAGCATGACCTCAGACCCGGGGATGACCACCTCGGCCCCCTCGCGACCTTTCCTCTGCTTTTGCGCTAGACCCTCCTTAACGAGAGCGCACGCGCAGGCAGCAGCCGTATCGCTGCCATGAAGCCCCGCGATAAGGAGCTGCTCAATCATCCCTGCGGTGGGCCGCGCGTTGTCGCCGAGGCGGCACCGCCAATCTGCCCATAGTCCTATGACCAGCCCGTTCAGTTCGCGGTGGCGCATGCTGCCGAGTGCGTAAGCAACCTGGCGGAAGACATACCCGTCCATCTGAGAAGTCTCGAGCTGATCGTAGACTGCCAGCGCTTCCCTCCAGCGCTGCGCGCACGCGAGAAGGGTCAGCACCCGTCCGACCTCGTGCAGCCCAAGAAACGTTGCGTAGTTCGTCCAGACCGCCAGGGCCCCCACCCAGGCAACGCCGGGGTCCGGCCGCGCAGCCTCGCAGATCCTGAGCGCCTTTCGCGCGGCATAGAGCGGGGTTGCCAGGACTCGTGGAATTAATGCCAGCGCGGCCGCCCAATTCCCCTGTGCCATGAGACGGTCGAGATGGCCTTTTGTCACTGGGGCCTCTTCTGGGGGAGTGGGGGGATACCCCTGCCGGGACGGCTGAGGGGGATCGGCCGAAGGGGGGCCTCGCCTCCAGGACGATATGTGAGGCCCATTGTGTAACAGGGACGCGCGGATGCTCACCTCGCACTCTAGGAACGGCCACAGGGAACGCAGGAGGGTGTGGTAGAGGCGCAGGCGATCCTTTTTTAGCCCATCCCACTCCCTGTCAGCGTTTCTGAACCGAGACACACAATGGTCCGCGTCGGGGTATTTGGAACATTTCGCACCGCCGGGGTTGTCCACGTAAGGTAGCAACCATGATGTTGTGACATTGGGGATTAGAAGGAAAGCAGCAGGCAGGGAATGGAGGGATGAAAAGGGCGAGCTGGAAAAGATTGAATTCGAAAGCGTCTCTCCTACGCGCACATGCCATTTTTTTACAGCTTCCTCTACGTTTCCTTCCATGACGAACCATAATGAAACCGATGAGGCCTTTAAATCGATATTCTTCACACATAACTCTGATTTTTTGCCAGATACAGAACGTCTCAGGGTTTTCCAGTTCTTAATACTAACACTAGGGAACAGTACTCCCTCTATCAGCGCTTTCCATACTTCCAAAGAGTAACTGCGCGGTATATAGCATTGAGTAAATTGCTCTGAGAGGGCTGAGACTTGTCCAATTCTATTACCTTTTGATTCCTCATTGCCACCTTTTTTTTGTAGTTTGATTTCTCCAGAAAGTCACGAACACTCTGAATTAAAAGAAATACAATTAATACGGAGGCCGGTAGCTTCGGGTGTGTTTCTAAGGGAGTAGTTTCAAAATAGGCTAAGGACCCTGATGACGAGATGTCTGACTCGGAAGCATAAACTTCCTTTGAGGGATGAAAGTATGCTAAGTCTTGCAAAAGCCATTTTATGAGGAATTCAAGCACTGCGCAGCACGCTGCCAAGACTTCTTTGTGCTCTATTTCTTTGGTTTCTGTCATCAACAGACCATCTTTGTTAGAGCTGCAAATTGCACGCTCGATGGTGATGCTAGATTGGCTTCTTTCTCCTACGTTATAATTCCCATTGAGCTTTTCAGTTTGTCTTGTCCAGTTGTCATCCATGCCACGCAAACATGCTAGTCGGCATTCACAATGGAGCCACAGGGAAATAATTTGGTACTTCGACATCTCGTTTATTCTGATATCCAAATGCCGAAATAAGGATTGGTTTATGTAAGCTTTATTAATCTTTCCCTCACGTGTCGGGTCACTAGTGGTGGCAGTCGATGCTGAACCGTTTTGAAGGTCCAAAAGAAAAAGCAAATCTTCCGCTAAACGGGGTTGGCTTTCGACAAACAATGCATAAATAGCTAGTTGAATGATCAAGGCCGACGAAAAGGTCGGTACACTTTTGCTAACATGGCTTATATGTTCTCCACGGCTTCTAGAACGTGTGATGTATTTCTGTGATAGTCCATACGCATCCCACCACACTGCGAACGCATTCTTTCCCTGCCCATCCCATAGGTATTCAGTTATTATTTTTTCAAACTGGCTTGACATTACTAAAGGGGGAGGCAGCGGCAATGCAGTAGCGGTTTGTGGAGGAGGTGATACTTCAGGCCATCTACTCGCCGAGGCTGTGGGTGATGCACGCCTGTCCAGATGGAACCTAAAATTGTTTTGTATGTTTTCCTTCTGGTGTGGATCAATCTCACCATTAGCTCTATCACCGCCTTTCTTGATCGCACGCTTTTTAACGTTTAAATATATTCTACCCGAAGTGAAATATCCTCGACGTGGTGCAAGCGGGGTACTGTGGGAAATAATGGTTGATTCTAGACTCAAACCCGAAAGTGCCGGGCGGGAAACCCATAAAAATGGTAATGAATGAAAAAAAAGATATGCCCCCTGAGACATTGCATCGCTCTGAAAAAAGCGAAAAAGAAAATGGACTAAAAAAAGAAGTCAGCGTAATGTATCATCAAAAAGGCATGCCCATTTTTTGGTAAATAAAAACCCAATAACAATATTAGAATATATATATATATATATATATATTACTACTATAATACAAATATAAAGAAAGTCGCAAAAGTATCACTACCTTTTCATCTAATAATACATACATTTAGAACAATTACATGCATAGATTCTTACATTTTTAAGTATATTGGTATGCCAATAGATCAAACATAAAAAATGTGGCGATAACGATAGGTAACATTTCTGTACATTGTTAACGTCCTGATTTAGAGATGTAGTGTAGAAGTGATAGGGTAAGAATAGGCGATATTGAGCAATATATCAAATGTATTACATGTTGCCCTGTATATGTATATATTTTCCTGTTGTTATGGCATTTTTTGCCTCGCTAGTTGACATTTCCCATTACGAACCTTGGGTAAGTTCGATGGTTGTGAGTTCATCACTGAGAGTGCGGCCTCCGGCCCTATAGATTGCACTAGATTAACGCGATTGTAGGTAGAAAGGTTCGGGAGATTATCTTGGGTTAAGTTTAATGTTTCTCCCTTTCGGGGTTCCGCAGTGCTCAAGCCCGTTGACCAGGGGGCGTGGGTTGGCATGGACCACTTTGTACGCGTATGCCAAGTCCAGAACGGCCTGCGGCCGCTGTCGATGCCGGCCGGGTTGTATGGATCGGGAATCCATTCCATATCACCAGCGAGAACCATCCCCGCGTCAGGGTGTTTGCCCGCGTAGAAAGGTCGGACGTTCTTTTTCTTCCCCTTCTTGTCCAGCTCGCCCCCTGGCATCCACTTCGGATAATCATGAGGAACGGGGCCCGTGCGGAAATAATTTTGCCGGCCATGATTTATCTTGTCGTTGTACGGACAGGGAATATACTCCACCGGAAGGCCGATGTATTGATGACGTCCACCGGTTTGCATATCGCCAGGATTACCCTGGATCTTGCCTGACTCCCCTTTCTTGTAGAGCTTCGCATCGCGGTCCACTGGGTCACCTTCCGGCATGTATGGGTATTCAGAGAAAAGTCCACGTTTGAGGGGATTTTTCTTCGTAAAGATGGCTGTTACGCGTGGAATTGTGGTGGCCTCTGGGGTGGGGCGCCCGGCTTTGGTATTCAGCGGGATTTCACCCCATCCCCCGAGGGCCGTACCGGTACCGAGGGCAAAATCCATCCGATCCCCATTCACGCGGTCGTTGAGTCGTTGAGGTTCGATCGGCACCTCATAAGGTCCACCTCCCCAGTTTTCGTACTGAAATTGGCCGCCGGAACGAAGATCGTGAAAAGGACAGCTCTCCCGCCCGAGGTGGTCGGCCTCGCAGTCATAGAGGTGGTTCCAGTTTGTCCAGTGCCTGCGGCTATCCCAGTTCTTGGGACGGAGGTTGTGAATTGTTTCAAATCGTCCTTCCGTCATTTTGCGCAAACAAATGTTTTTCCCTTTTTGCTGTTGTTGTTTTGAAAGGTTTACAATCTTCAGTCTTTGATTTATTTCTTCATGCACTATTCTTTCTCACGTGTATATTCAGATGCTCACACCGATGTAGTATCAGCCCCTTGAAGGAAACAGTTAAATTAGATAAAATAAGAGCAGAAAATAAGTCAGGATAGACTTAGCAATAATTATTATAGACATGATAGGTTCAACATAAGGTTAGATGCATTAAGAAATAATAAATTTGCCATATTCAAAAGACATCACACCATAGAGTAATAGCATTTCAGATTAGCATAACTCACTTTTTTCCTCATTCATGTAAACACCTTTACCGAAACCCCTTTGATTCTTGCAAAAAGTGTCCAGTCATAGGTTGATTTGATGTAAAAGCTTTGCCTATCTTGTCTTCCGTGTCATCAATCTTCATTGATCGCATTGACAACGAATCCCTCGCTGATGCCAGGGGGTTATACTCTTGGACCACTACACCAAGCCGCTTTTCAAAGGCAAACTCCTCAAACTGGAATATATAGCTGTTAAATACATCACCGATAATGCCCTCGTGCAAGCAAAAATAGTTCATCTGTGAGTCATGCATGGGGCGAAAGTTTTCTATATACTCTGTCTGACCGTCAATCATTTGCATGCGCCGGTAGCGGTCGAGATTGATTCCGAAGTAGTCAAGCGTCTTTCCAGCGAGGCGAGTGGCATGTCGTTTGAGGTCTCGATTGGACCAATGAGCCATACGCTTTTGGTCAAACTTACCGTAATACTCAATTGCATACTCGGTGCCGGATCCGAAGATACCGAGGACCTTCTCGCCCATGCTCGCAAGCTGAGAATCCGTGGGGGGTTTGCCAGTATAAAGGGAGTTGTGCAAGCAAAGACTAGAACAAAGGGAGGGAATACACTGTGCGAGCGCACGGTGAACCCAAATTGCTAGCATGTCTGGAAACGTCTCATTAATTGCATCGGAGCTTAAGATGGCAAAGGGACTATAAAGTATATACTGTGGTCTGATAATAGAATTTTTAGTGCCATAGGCTTGAGTTTCAAGCGGGTTGTCAATAGGTTCATGTTCGCGTACTACAGGATCTGAAAAGTGTCCACACTTTCTAAGCCATTGGAAAAGTTGTAAAGTACGTTTGAGATTCATGTAAACCGGAGTCTGATCTTCGTCGAGACATTCCAAAAGGTATTCGTCTAATCCATGGAGGAGGCCCCAGGCATAACACTGCGGGGTCATGAGATGTAAAGTCAAATCATCGTCTATTTGGTTTGCCTTTAGCAAGCGCACACAACGGAAATCAGGGTTAATAGATTGAAATCCCACGTATCGTTTGTTAAATTCACGCATACGTTGTGATTCAACCATGAGAGAAGGCGATAGCGTATCATATTGACGTGGGGCCAAAAATAGACCGGAGCGCGAAAGGACATGCGCAGCAAAATGTCCGTTTGACCTCGGAATACCCATCACAATTAGAGGTTTTGTGATAGATTCTTTTTCAATCTCGTTACCATTTAAACGAAATATTTCGTCAACGGCAAAACGTTGGGAAAGAGCAGTGACAAGACGCGCTCGAAGCAATTTTCCCCCATAGTTGCTAGTCGTCTTCTCAGCACAAGCTTTGCATAGCTTTTTCCAGTACCGATAATTTTCTAGTTGAGTCTCGGGATTCTGCGGCAAGGCTACATCGGCAACTGTACACGCTTCTGAAATAACAGATTCCAATGTAAATGATTCGGGGGACACCTTTTTGGTAGATAAGTCAATCACACGTCGCAATAACGAACCACCACGCATGATATCTCGCACGCCAGTCATCGTGCGTCTACACAACATCTTTGTGTTCTCGTTTCGCTTCGTTTTCCCTGCACCTTTACTAGGAAAAAATATATACGATATAAAATAAAATTAAAAAAAATGTAAATTATTAACGGCAAGTCGATAGCTTCAATACACTTCACTTCTTATCCATACCAAAGTTCCACTTGTATTTCAAATTAAGATTTATCAATATAAATGAAGGAAAACCATGAATCACCCATTTTCGATACTAAAACGAAATGATAGGGCATTGAAGCTAAGTTTAATATTACTGAATATATAAATCTAGACTATTCACCACTAAAGGAAGTAGCTATAATGTATATATGCCAGGTTAAGTAGAAAAAAAACATCACTTTTCCACATCTCACAAAAGTTGCTAAATATAAACCTAACATTTTCAGCACTATAAAATATAAACTTATGTAAGGAAACTAGTCCAATTACTCCAACCTTTGGAAATGTATAACATTTTAAGAAGGGTCTATAATTATAGCAAATATAAAAGAACTGAGTAGAAAGATGATATATCAAGGGTAATATTATAAAATGATTATAACGACTTCTATATAAATGAACTAGGTTAGCTGGTACAACTCAATACACAACTTTCAACGTGATCAGAGTGTACATTCCAGTTAGAAAAATTCAACTCATCAAAAATATCCAAGAAGGATTAAGTTTGATTTCTAAAGTTGATATTGGTTTGGAGAACAAGGCTTATTTTGGTCATTTGCTTAGTGAATAATCTACTGTACATATACTATATATGCATGCTTTATTATCATTAATACTACAGAAAATAGATAATGTAAAGGAGAATATGAAGGGTTAAAGTCGAAAACTTTTGCCAAACTGTTGAGATTTTCCTGTAGAATCTGGAATATACCATATAAATTTAACAGCAAATATTAAATTTTACCAATATTTATCTTTTTGCAACGCAATGGGAACATAATGATAATAAAGAATGCGCTTCCTACGTTATAACTGATAGTGCGTTGCAGAAATCACAGTTAAAAATAAACTAAAATATTTAAAGTTTATCACCAGAAAAAAAAACTCCAACATTTAGATCACCATTCTGTTTATAAATAATGATAGAGCGAAGCTTATTCATATTCAAATTATCAAAATTTATGCGACTTGTGATCCTTTCTTTTGAAACCTGACTGATGCAGTCTGAACATCATTTCTAATAGCTTCGGTAATTGAGTCAAAGTGTCACCTATCTTCAAGAATTTATACATGAACCAGAAGTATTCTACGAGTGGGGAATCATCATTTTCATAGATATCTCGGTTGAGGCACTCTAGATGTCAATAAGAAAATAGAACATTTTCTGCATTCTATTATAATGCAAAATAATATCGACTTTCTGTACATAACATAATAAATCGTATTCTTTTTTCATGTTTTCTCAATATTTTCAGATAACCATTTGTCTGTCCCACCTAAATGTGTCAATGAAAAAAACATAATATATACCCCTGTTATGTAGGTAAATATTTTCTCTGTTTCAGGTAGACACGTAGCTAATTTAAAGGTACAAAACTTTTTTAAGAGCTAGTTTGTCTCCGTTAAATACTTTCCAAATGCCACACTTGCACAGAAAGATTCAGTACTTTAATGGGATACAGGAAATACATAAATATCAGGCAAGATTTTTTTTAAGACACATACTATGGTTTATCCAAAGAGTAATGCAATAATTGAATGTTTCATTTTTTCTGAAATAATTACCAACACTAAAGACTAGATCCAAGAAAAAGATTATTCTTTAATTCATAGTTACTTAACTTTCTAAAATAACCTATCTGCTACTGACTTTATAAGATTCTTACTTTCATTTTTGTAAGTAGAAGTATCCCCTAAAACAGAAGTCATCGATAATGAATAAAGGGCACCAACCTTTGCCCTTTTTATAAACCATGGGAAGCTAAAGCTTCTCTCACCTATATGTGGTCCAGATGAGAGTGGAACTCCTTGGATGGATGTACGCATAAAGGCGATATTGTTCGAACACTTAATATGGTAATTATTTATTTTTCTATCATCTGTTGGTATAAAAGGGTTCATCTTTCTAGAATTAAGAATCTCTTTAATTGGTTCCATAAAATTTACAAAGTTTTCAACGCGTTCCATTACGTAGGCAGTTGTATCAATAAATTGCGCAAGGTTAAGCATTGTATGTGGAATGTTAGAGGGGCAGTATTCTAGGGAAACTGCACTTGACCATTGATCTAAAAAAGGGTTCAAATAAGATATTTTATAAGTCATAGAATCCACAGCCACTTCTTTTACCTCAGGAAGACGATATCGACCGCAAAGGTAGTTGTCTTCATTCTCTTGAATCATACGGAACAGACTTTCTTTTTCATATTTCTGGATAAGCTTATTTTGGACATGTTTGTTACTGTCTCTAACGATAAATTCCACTAAAGCAACCGGAAATCCCCGCTGGAACATTTCCGAAATAATAGTGTCAGTAACATTTAGGTCTTTATTGTATATTTCCAACACACTTAAAAGTGTAAGGTTAGTGAAGCCAGTTTGAGGTACAAACTTAACCGCTTCCCTTAAAATTTTCTGTTGGAGGCCAATAAGCTTAGGGTTAAAACGACTTGACATCACTTATAAATAGAAAGGAATTAAGAAAGTAGTTCTTTGGGAAGAATAACATTTTCTCAGAGTTGTCCCCGTTTGTCTTCTATACCACATTGCATCCAATTAAAAAAAGAGGAGTGGGGGGGCGGGGGAGAGGCAGCAAGACCAGGCACCAAAATCTGCCTTTGCTTTCCAATTACTGCCTTTCATCAAAAAAAAATGGGTTAGACCCCATCCTCACATAATGTATATCTAAATTCAGCCTATGCTTATTATTATTTTA